GTTGTTTTCTCCTTTTATCAAGAGAGAATTATCATTGTTTTCTCCTTGTTAGATCAAGAGAGGTTGTAATTCTTATTTTCTCATAGTGGATTTCTTCTACTGTTGCCCGAGGTTTTTACCCTATATTATTTAGGGGTTTTCCACGTAAATTTTGTGTCCTCTTTATCTCTATTTTTTATTTTCTCAAATTATCAGTTGCGATTTTGCTCTATCCGATAGTCGTCTTCTGTAACAATTGGTATCCGAGCCAGATTTGAGTGTGTAATATCTGCTTATTGTCTTTGTGGTTGCCACCAAAAGGTGGATCCTCCAACATAAGAAAGTAAGAAGGTATTACCCATTCTTTGAAGGTTCCAGAGAACTATTCACGATAGTGAAATAGTGGGAGCTATCTAGAAGCTATGGCAACGAAATTTGATATTGAAAAATTTAATGGGAGAAATTTCTCATTGTGGAAATTGAAGATGAAGGCCATCCTGAGGAAAGACGGTTGTCTAGCAGCTATCACTGAAAGGCCGGTAGATTTCACAGACGACAATAAATGGATCAAAATGGACGGGAATGCTATGACAAACTTTCATCTAGCATTAACAGATGAAGTATTGTCAAGCATTGAGGAGAAGAAGACAACTAAGGAGTTATGAGATCATCTCACCAAATTGTACGAAGCCACATCGTTGCACAATAAAATTTTCCTTAAGAGGAAATTGTACACTCTCCATATGCCAGAATCTACTTCAGTGACAAAGCACTTAAATACGCTGAACACTTTATTTTCTCAGCTTACATCCTTAAGCTGTAAAATAGTAGAACAAGAACGTGCTGAACTTCTACTTCAAAGTCTACCGGATTCGTATGATCAACTCATCATTAACTTGACAAACAGTAATGTCACCAATCTAGTCTTCGATGACGTTGACACTGCTGTTCTACAAGAAGAAAATCGGCACAAGAACAAGGAAGACAGACAAGTAAATCTGCAACAAGCAAAAGCGTTGACAACGATGAGAGGGAGATCAATAGAACGTGGCCAAAGTAGCAGTCACAAACATGGTAGATCGAAGTCGAAAAGCAAGAAGAATTTAAAGTGCTACAACTGTGGAAAGAAGGGTCACTCGAAGAATGATTGTTGGAGTCTAAATAAAAACTCCAATCCACAAGGAAATACCGCAAACACTTCAGATGATGGAGATGCTTTATGCAGTGAAGCATAAACCACCGTGGAAGGAAGAAAATGATTTGCAGATATATGACATTGATTCGGGAGCAACATATAACATGACCTCAAGAAGAGAATGGTTCCATCATTATGAACCTGTCTCAGGAGGATCTGTGTATAGTTGCAATGATCATGCCTTAGAGATCGTTGGCGTGGGAACCATCAAATTGAAGATGTATGACGGAACAATTAAAGTTGTTCGAGATGTGCGGCACATGAAAGGCCTGAAGAAAAATTTATTATCCTACGGATTGTTGGATAATAATGCAAGTAAGATTGAAACACGAAAAGGAATCATGAAGGTGTTCCGTGGAGCGCTTGTGGTGTTGAAAGGCGAAAAGATAACAACGAACTTGTACATGCTGAAGGGAGAAACTTTGTTAGAAGCAGAAGCCTCTGTTGCCTCGTGTAGTTCAGATTCTGCAATGCTATGGCATCAGAAACTTGGACAAATGTCAGAACAAGGAATGAAAGTCCTTGTGGAGCAAAAGCTACTTGTAGGCTTAACAAAGGTATCAATTCCTTTGTGTGAGCATTGCATAACAAGTAAACACACCGATTGAAATTCAACACATCAAATTCTAGAGGTAAAAGTGTTCTAGAATTGGTTCACTCTGACGTATGGCAAGCACAAGTTATATCCCTAGGTGGAGCAAAAATACTTTGTCTCATTTATTGATGACTACTCTAGGAGATGTTGGGTGTACCCTATTAAGAAGAAGTCAGATGTGTTTTCAACTTTCAGAAACTTCAAAGCGCGGGTGGAACTTGATTCTGGAAACAAGATCAAGTGTTTCAGAACAGATAATGGAGGAGAATACACAAGTGAAGAATTTGATGACTTTTGTAGGAAAGAAGGCATCAAAAGACAGTTCACAGTGGCAAACACTCCTAAAAAAAATGGAGTGGCAGAGCGGATGAACAGAACCTTGTTAGAAAGAACAAGAGCAATGTTGAGAGATGCAGGCCTAGAAAAATCATTATGGGCAGAAGCAGCCAATACTGCCTGTTATTTGGTGAATTGAGCTCCATCAACTGCAATAGAGCTGAAGACACCAATGGAGATGTGGATTGGTAAACCAGCTGATTATTCAAACCTCCATGTATTTCGAAGTATTGTGTACGTGATGTACAACTCCCAAGAAATTTCAAAGCTGGATCCAAAATCCAGGAAATGCAAATTCTTGGGGTATGCTGATGGAGTAAATGAGTATCGCTTGTGGGATCCCACTGTCCGTAAAGTGATCATCAGCAGAGATGTTATCTTATAGAAGATAAACTAAAAGGAAAAGAATACGATGATAGTATTGAAAAGTTAGAGACTACACATATACATGTGGAAAAAGAGGTTGAACAAGGAGATTCTTCAGAAGCAGAACCAGAACATGATGAACAAGAACCAGAGAGTTCTGAAGCTCCAACAACTCGTCAATCAGATCGTGCGAGAAGACGTCCCAATTGGCACTCAGATTATGTTATAGAAGGTAATATTGCATACTGCCTTTTAACAGAGGACGGTGAGCCATCAACATACCAGGAAGCAATAAATAGCTCAGATGCTTCACTATGGATGATGGCGATGCAAGAGGAAATTGAAGCCCTTCATAAAAATAATACATGGGACCTTGTGCCACTACCATAAGGAAGGAGGCCAATTGGTAACAAATGGGTCTTCAAAATCAAGCGAAATGGTGATGATCAAGTTGAGAGGTATCGTGTAAGACTGGTGGTCAAAGAATATGCTCAAAAAGAAGGTATTTATTTCAATGAAATCTTTTCTCATGTGGTTCGACTAACAACAGTTCGAGTAGTCTTGGCAATGTATGCTACATTGAACTTACATCTAGAGAAGCTAGATGTTAAAACAACATTTCTTCATTGAAATCTTGAAGAAGAGATTTATATGCTCCAGCCTGAAGGTTTAGAAGAAAAAGAAAAGAAGAACTTGGTTTGCAGGTTGAACAAATCTCTGTACGGTTTAAAACAGGCGCCGATGTGTTGGTATAAGAGATTTAATTCCTTCATTATGTGCCTTGGATACAACAGACTTAATGCAGACCCTTGTGCTTATTTCAAGAGGTCCGGTGATAACGATTTTGTTATATTACTGTTGTATGTGGATGACATGTTGGTTGCAGACCCAACAAAGGTCATATTGAAGAATTGAAGGAACAACTGGCTAGGGAATTTGAAATGAAGGACTTGGGATCAGTAAACAAGATTCTAGGGATGCAAATTCACCGAGACAGAAGTAATGGGAAGATTTGGCTTTCACAAAAGAATTACTTGAAGAAGATCTTGTCACGATTCAACATGCAAGGTTGTAAGTCAATTTCTACCCCTCTTCCTATTAACTTTAAATTATCCTCCAGTATGAGTCCTAGAAGTGAAGAAGAGGGGATGGAGATGTCTCGAGTACCGTATGCATCAGCAGTGGGAAGTTTAATGTTCGCTATGATATGCATAAGACCAGACATTGCACAAGCAGTGGGAGTGGTTAGTCGGTACATGGCGAATCCAGGCAAAGAGCATTGAAATACAGTAAAGAGGATCCTGAGATACATCAAAGGGACCTCAAATGTTGCATTATGTTACAGAGGATTAAATTTACTTATAAATGGGTATGTCAATTCTGACTATGCAGGGGATTTGGATAAAAGTAAATCTACTATGGATATGTGTTCAAAGTTACTGGTGGAGCTGTAAGCTGGGTTTCAAAATTGCAGTCAGTTGTGGCTACATCCACAACAGAAGCAGAATATGTAGCAGCTACACAAGCCAGTAAAGAAACAATTTGGTTGAAGATGCTATTGGAGGAGCTTGGGCACAATCAAGAGTATGTCTTTTTGTTTGTGACAGTCAAAGCGCCTTGCATTTAGCAAGGAATCCATCATTTCATTCAAGGACAAAGCACATACGAGTTCAGTACCATTTCATTCGTGAAAAGGTGGAATAATGGATGGTAGATATGCAGAATATCCATACCAAAGACAACATAGCAGATTTCATGACAAAGGCGATCAATGCTGATAAATTTACTTGGTGTCGATCCTCGTGTGGTCTGTCAGAAACGTAAGCAACATGATGGTACAAGGTAGAAAGAATGATGTGAAGATATGATTGTTCCAATCAAATCTTCAAGTGGAAGATTGTTGGTGCACATGGCACCGAAAGGTGTTAAAGAAAAAAATAATTAAGTCAAAATTGTAGGCACCGAATGGTAGGTGCAGAATTTGTTGATTTTTCAACAATGGTAGAACCTCAATTTTAGCCATTGTAAGTTAGGGTATTTACAAATTAGTCCTTAAGCTTCAGCTATAAATACCTAGCTAATTTAGCTTCAAAACCATCCTAAAGCATTCTAGCTTTCTTCCAATACTAGAGAGAATTTAGAGAGTTTCTTGAGAGTTGTTTTCTACTTTTTATCAAGAGAGAATTATCATTGTTTTCTCCTTGTTAAATCGAGAGAGTTTGTAATTCCTATTTTCTCATAGTGAATTTCTTCTACCGTTGCCTGTGGTTTTTACCCTATATTATTTAGGGGTTTTCCACGTAAATTTTGTGTCCTCTTTATCTCTATTTTTTATTTTCTCAAATTATCAGTTGCGATTTTACTCTATCCGATCGTCTTCCGTAACATAAACCTGTTTATTTTTTCTGGGTTTTAATGTTTACCAATATTGAATTATTGTTGAAAAAAATGTCTTTAGGCTTTGGACAAGATTAGATTTGAGAGCTTGACTGACAAGAGCAAACTTGATGCTCAACCAGAGTTCTTTATTCACATTGTGTGTGGCTTCCCATCAATATGTGAGCGGCCCTTCTTGTTCACTTCAAGTTCCTTCAAGTTCTCGAAGCTGCAAATTTTTGCTATTTCTTCATCCTCTGAGAAAGGAACCCCTAAGAACATGACCAAGTGTTTCAGCTGAGAACTAATGTCTTCCTTGAGATCTTCGTATTTTAGAAACAGTATCTTGTCGGGGTTTCCTTGGCTTGCCTTCCAGTAACCCAATACGTGATCAAGAAATGGTTCATTCCCACAGACCCCATGGCAGAACTTGTCAAATGCTTCATCTAGTGACAGCAACTCTTGGTTTTCGCCTCGAAGCTTGTCAATGAAATGCCAAAGCGAAATGAACGTATCCATGGGGTTTCTACATAGGTAAACAAACTTGCAATCGGTATCTTTAATGGAAGCAGGCAAAGAAGCATACGGAACGTGAGTGGCAAAAAGCCTTGGCTTATAAACACAAACATTTTCCAGATCGGGACAAGGGTTGTTCATGTAAACATTTTCCAGATAGAGATGAACTTGTAATAAAATATAGTTTTTAAAAATTTAAAAGTAAAAAAAAATAAAGATGTGATATAAGAAATTAAAAAAAAAGTAATATAAATAACGGCAACTTACACAAAATTCAGTATCATCGTCTATCAACCAAATTAGAAACAAAGAAATCAATGATGTTGAGATTTTAAATTTATTATTATTATTTTTAAATAATTTATACCTAGGTGGAAGGGAAAATATAGTTTTACTCCTAAGTTATTGAACCCTCAACCTAGGAGAAAGGGATGTATCAATTAAGAACTTTTAACAATATGTTCTGGAAATTTTAACTAATTTATTATTAATTTTTAAATAACAAAACCTTAATATAGATTAAAAATCTCTAATAAATTATTCTATGAAATCCTTATACATAACTAAGCAACTTTAGTGGTTAAGGAATTATTATTATTTTTTGAGATTTCGGGTTTGAACACCACGTATATAGGGATATGGACGTTCATCGTCAAATGATTAAGAGGAGTATTACCTTATACTTACCCTTGATTTATAAAAAAAGAAAGAAAGAAATTCTTATTTGTTTGAGTTACCATTAGGGGTGTTCAAATGGTTAAAATGGCCACCGATCGAACCAAATTACCATTAATCGAACTTTTTTTTTTGAAAATATTAACTGAACCGAATAAAGTTCGGTTATTTCGGTCGGTTAACCGAATTAACCGAATTTTTTTATAATATTTCTAATTAAATTAATTTGAATATAATAGAAGTATTTTTTTTTAATTTGAGTTAAAATTTAATTAGGTATTAATAATTTAATGAGTCTAGTTTGATTTAAAAATAATTGGATCTTAATTCTTAATAGGTTTGAGCTTAAAATATGTATTTAATATTTATAATATATTTAATAATTTCAGTTAATTCGATTAATTAATGGATTTCGAAGTGAATTAACAGTTAACCGAATATAAAAAAATCATTAACCATTCACCGATGGAACTGATTCGGTGGTCGACCGAATTAATTAAACTAATTCGATTCGGTCGGTTAATTCGGGTAAAACCGAAAAATGAACACCCCTAGTTACCATGCATCAAGCAATAATTTCAAATAGATTAATATTTTGTAACTTCTAATAGTCATGAGACTAAATAAAATTATATATATAATTTGAGGTCTATTTATATACTTTCTCTTAAAATTTAATTGGTGTTATTTCAATAATAAAATTACATTTTCAAATTCGCAAATAAAATCATCCAAAGCCATTTATTCTTTTTATGAAAACAACACAACTCCGATGTAGATATTACAACAGATAAATAGATACATGGGACTAAAAAGATTTTAGTCAACATGCATATACCAAAGCTATAGGGGACACCCCTGATCATGAAAAAGAAATATTATCCTCTCGAAAATGGTCGAAATATTAAACATCCCACATGGAATCTGAGTTAACTTGTAATTCTTTTATCTGTTTCACACATGCAACTTGCACATTGAATTTAGCATTAGACTGATGGAGAAGAATATTTAATTACAACGGGTTAAGATATGTTTAATTTCTATGCATATATCAAAGCTAAAGAGGACAATCCATGATCATGCACAAGAAACAGCACCCTCTGATGTTTTGGAGGAGAGTTTAAATGTTAAACTCGAACCATCCGATTTATCTTGAATAAGCTTCTCCAAGCGTTCAACCATGGAAGGTGTGAGATAGTTGCTCCAATCTCCCACTTTTCCTTTCCTAAAAAATTCTGTGTGTGGAATCCCAGAAATGTGTGAGCCCTTCTTATTCGCTTCCACTTCTTTCAGATTCTCAAAGCTACAACTTTTTGCTATTTCTTTTACAACTCCTTGTTTCTCTTCCTCTTCTGTGAAGGGAACCCCTAAGAACATGGTCAAGTGTTTCAGCTGAGAACTGATGTCTTCCTTAAGATCTTCGTATTTCAATAACAATATCTTGTCGGGGTTTTCTCAACTTGCCTTCCAGTAACCCTATACGTGATAAAAAAAATGGTCCAAACCCACATATTCCAATTTCAACTTCGGTCAAAGCTTCCCATAAGCTAAGGAATTAATTCAAGGCTAAAATGATCCATTAACTATAGGGTGCATGCTACTTTATTGATTCTTTAATGATTAAAAATTACAAAATGGTTTCCTAACTATTCATATGTTATAAACTCGTCATTTTCTGTTAAAAAATTGACATTCGTCTAAGCTGGTTGTTAGCCTGTTAACTGAGTATGATAAAATCTGATCATAAAATTGTTTGAGCTTTATAGTTGTTTGAGATTCTCGGATCAGATTTGATCATATACCAATTAATAGGTTAATGTCCAACACATAGGGTTGTCAATTTTTTTAACGAAACATGATACATTTGGAATAATGAATAATTGGGTGACCATTTTATAACTTTTAATAGTCAGGGTACTCAACAAAGCAACAACTTATAGTCGGAAGATCATTTTATAATTTTTATAATTCGAGGGACTCAATAAATTCGGAAAACATCATCCAAAGAAATTTATTATTATTAATATTTTTGAAATAACACAACTCTAATTTTGACTACAACAGAAAAACAAGTAAAACTATATAGATAATGGGATTAAAAGAGATTTTAGTCCAAAGAGCTAGTGGATAGCTCCCCACATGCACATGTCCAAGTTAAAGACGATAACCCATGATCGATCATGCAGAAGAAGCAGAACCCTCTGATCATGTTTTGGATGAGAGTTTAAATGTTAAACCCGAGTTGTCCATTTTCTCATGGATAAGCTTCTCCAAGCGTTCAACCATGGAAGGAGTGAGATAGTTGCTCCAATCTCCCACTTCCCCTTTCCTGAAAAATTCTTTATGTGGGATCCCAGTAACGTGTGTGCCCTTCTTGTTCACTTCCAGTTCTTTCAACTTCTCAAAGCTACAAATCTTCGCTATTTCTTCAACAACTCCTTGTTTCTCTTCATCCTCTGTGAAAGGAACCCCTAAGAACATGGCCAACTGTTTCAGCCGAGAACTGATGTCTTCCTTAATATCTTCGTATTTTAAGAACAGTATCTTGTTGGGGTTTTCTTGGCTTGCCTTCCAGTAACCCAGAACGTGATCAAAAAATGGTCCAAACCCACAGATTCCATGACAGAATTTCTCAAAGGCTTCATCTACTGATAGTAACTCTCTTTCTTGTCGAAGCTTGTCATTAAAAAGCCAAAGAGAAATGAACATATCCATGGGGTTTCTGCATATGTAAACAATCTTACAGTGGGAATCTTTCATGGAAGTGGGCAAAGAAGCATAAGGAACGTGGGTGGCAAAAACCCTTGGCTTATAAACACAAATGTTTTCGAGATCGGGACAAGGGTTTTTCAAATAAACATCAATCTCCAAGAAACGAACAAGCTGGTGAGGAGTAAAGGTAAGCAAGGGATGTTCATCCATTGCAAAATGGTTGCGATACAAAGTAGAGAAAGCCAAGGCCTTGAGCCAAGTAGTGCCACATTTTGGGAAAGTGGCGATGATAACATCTGAATCGAATGTTGGGAAATGTGTCTGGAAAGAAATAATAGGTTTAATAACAAGAGGTGAGCACCAAAAGCCCTGGTAGAGATAAAGACTCAATCCACTGACCCAGGCTTCTTCTTTAGGGAGGCTTTGTACCATTTGTAGGAGCTCATCATCCCATGATTTCTCCATATCTTGGATTAGTGAAACTATTTTGGCTTTGCTGGTTTCTGCTGCATCCATAATGAAACCAACAACCAATCGAAAATGGGATGAAGATGAGCGCTTAAAAACTTTTTATTTTTTGCGCAAGTTTCATCGATTCATTCGATGTTTGGCCCCAATTTAAACAACTTGGGTGTTCTGTTTATTTCACAGCAACTTGAACATTGAATTATTTCTTTGGACAAGATGGCCAAGAATATTTAATTTTGAGTTAGTTGCAACGTCCTAAAATTATAATTGTTATTGTTTTTTGCACCGCAATTATTTTATTTAATATAAAATGATCCTCTAAGGAATCCATACAAAATTCACGTCCAAAAACAAAACGGCCAAAATAACCCCAATAACAATCCTTTACTAGAGAATCTCTTATCTCCTTAATCTTCTAACGATCAACTTGTTGGGAAATAAACCGAGTACGAGTAATTTTCCTATAGCCAGATTAGTGAGAATACGAAATAAAAGCGGAAAAAATAATACCCGAAAATTGATAACGGAGTTCAGCCATTTGTGCTTACGTCTCCGGACTGCTGCAGATCTTTTACTAAGAGAGAAATTTTACAGGTGTTTACAAAACACTCACTACTCACAAGAAAGCTCTCTAGTATTGGGAGAAAGAAATGGTTTTTGGGATGATCTTCAAGGAAGGTGTGGGTTTATTTTCTGAAGAAGAAATCAGAAGTCTTTGATACCTTCAGAAAATGGAAGGCCATGGTGGAAAACGAGACTGGTCTGAAAGTCAAGTGGCTGAGGTCTGACAATGGAGGAGAGTACAGAAATAGAAGATTCAGAGATTTCTGTGCAAACAATGGGATCAAGACGGAGACAACAGTTCCCATGACACCGCAACAGAATGGCGTAGTAGAACGCATGAACAGAACTCTGAATGAACGTGCCAGAAGCATGAGGATACATGCCGGATTGCCCAAATTTCTATGGGCTGAAGCTATCAACACTACAGCTTACCTGATCAACCATGGGCCCTCAGTTCCTTTGGATGACAGAATACTAGAGGAAGTTTGGAGCAAGAAAGAAATAAACCTTTCACACTTAAGAGTGTTTGGTTGTATTTCTTATGTACACATAGATTCTGCTGAAAGAAGTAAACTTGATGCCAAGTCCAACAAATGCGTCTTTGTTGGTTACGGTGGTGATGAGTTCGGTTACCGGTTTTGGGACTATGAAAATCGGAAGATCATCCCAAAAACCATTTCTTTCTCCCAATACTAGAGAGCTTTCTTGTGAGTAGTGAGTGTTTTGTAAACACCTGTAAAATTTCTCTCTTAGTAAAAGATCTGCAGCAGTCCAGAGACGTAAGCACAATTGGCTGAACTCCGTTATCAATTTTCAGGTATTATTCTTCCCGCTTTTATTTCGTATTATCACTAATATGGCTATAAGGAAATTACTCGTACTCGGTTTATTTCCCAACAATTGGTAATCAGAGCTTTTGGTTGTGAATTTTGTCAATTTTTTGCGAGGTTACTATACACATGAATAGTGAATTTTGTGAATAGTAAAATTTTGTCGGCGATACGAATTTATCGATGGAGGTGTTCTAATACACGGTGGTTCGCACAAATTGTCAGAAACGATCCGAAGAAGCCAGATTCGAGTGGGAGCGATGGCTGCAGACGAAGGGAAAGTGAAAATTGAAAAGTTCGATGGTGCGGACTTTGGCTTTTGGAAGATGCAGATTGAAGATTTTCTGTACCAGAAAAATCTATATCAACCTCTCTCAGGAAAGCAACCAGAGGGCATGAAGAATGAAGATTCGGCTCTTCTCGACAGACAAGCCCTCGGAGTTATCCGAATGACGTTATCCCGAAATGTTGCTTTCAACATAGCAAAGGAAAAGACCACGGCGGGTCTTATGGCGGCTCTCTCCAGTATGTATGAGAAGCCATCGGCCTCAAACAAAGTTCACTTGATGAGGCGATTATTCAATTTGCGGATGACGGAAGGGGCATCAGTGGCTCAACACCTGAATAAACTCAACACAATCATAACCCAGTTGAGTTCCGTGGAAATTGAATTCGATGATGAAGTTCGAGCTTTAATTCTCTTATCATCTCTACCAGACATTTGGAATGCTACTGTTACAACAGTTAGCAGCTCGTCGGGAAATAGTAAATTGAAATTCGACGATGTTCGGGATCTGATACTGAGCGAAGAAATTCGATGGAGAGAATCGGGTGAAGCATTAACCTCCTCAGCCTTGCACACGGAGTCCAGAGGGAGAACTTCAGAAAGAAATTCAAATCGTGGAAGATCCAAATCCAGAAGGGAAAAATCAAGAACGGGAAAGAAAGATTTTACCTGTTATAATTGTGGCAAGAAAGGTCACTTTAAAAGAGATTGTCGAGCACTGAAGAAAGATACCGGTGCAAAGGAATCTGCCAACGTGATAGAGGAGACAGGTGATGCCATGATTCTAAGCGTCAACAGTCTGATTGAATCATGGATCTTGGATTCAGGGGCATCTTTCCACTCCACCCCATGCCGAGAAATCATAGAGAACTATGTCAGTGGTGATTTTGGGAAGGTTCATCTAGCTGATGATGAAACCTTGAAGATCGTCGGAAAAGGAGACATCCGACTAAAGTTGCCAAACCAGACCACCTGGACGCTGAAAGGAGTAAGACATATTCCTGGCCTCAAAAGAAATCTGATTTCTGTAGGACAGCTTGATGGAGAAGGATATAACACAACTTTTTCAGGATGTGAATGGAAGATTACCAAAGGAGCACTCGTCATTGCTCGTGGTAAGAAGACTGGTACTCTCTATGTAACCTCAAATTTAGAGAATATCATTGCTGCAGCAGATGCTGATGGAAAATCAAACCTGTGGCACCAAAGGCTTGGTCATATGAGCGAGAAAGGGATGAAGACACTTTTGTCAAAAGGGAAGCTGCCGGATCTAAAGAATGTAGATGTTGGACTATGCGAGGATTGCATCTTTGGCAAACAAAAGAAAGTCAGCTTTGTAAAGATTGGTAAGACACCCAAGACTGAAAAATTAAAGTTGGTTCATACTGATGTATGGGGACCATCTCCAGTTCCATCTCTTGCAGGCTCATTATATTATGTCACCTTCATCGATGATTCTACAAGGAAGGTGTGGGTTTATTTTCTGAAGAAGAAATCGGAAGTCTTTGATACCTTCAGAAAATGGAAGGCCATGGTGGAAAACGAGACTGGTCTGAAAGTCAAGTGGCTGAGGTCTGACAATGGAGGAGAGTACAGAAACAGAAGATTCAGAGATTTCTGTGCAAACAATGGGATCAAGATGGAGACAACAGTTCCCATGACACCGCAACAGAATGGCGTAGCAGAACGCATGAACAGAACTCTGAATGAACATGCCAGAAGCATGAGGATACATGCCGGATTGCCCAAATTTCTATGGGCTGAAGCTATCAACACTGCAGCTTACCTGATCAACCGTGGGCCCTCAGTTCCTTTGGATGGCAGAATACCAGATGAAGTTTGGAGCAAGAAAGAAATAAACCTTTCACACTTAAGAGTGTTTGGTTGTATTTCTTATGTACACATAGATTCTGCTGAAAGAAGTAAACTTGATGCCAAGTCCAACAAATGCGTCTTTGTTGGTTACGGTGGTGATGAGTTCGGTTACCGGTTTTGGGACTATGAAAATCGGAAGATCATCCCAAAAACCATTTCTTTCTCCCAATACTAGAGAGCTTTCTTGTGAGTAGTGAGTGTTTTGTAAACACCTGTAAAATTTCTCTCTTAGTAAAAGATCTGCAGCAGTCCGGAGACGTAAGCACAATTGGCTGAACTCCGTTATCAATTTTCGGGTATTATTTTTTCCGCTTTTATTTCGTATTCTCACTAATCTGGCTATAGGGAAATTACTCGTACTCGGTTTATTTCCCAACACAACTCCTAAACTATGATCTAAAAAGAAACCAATGCATCCAATACAAAATTCAAATCCTACTATTGAACCTTACATTTCCTGCGAGCCTTAAAAATTACTTGGAAGAATAAATAAAAAACGTGTGTACGTAGAAAATCTTCGCTGAGAGGCTCACCTACTAATTACGTCATTGTTAATAAAATTGTTATAAAAACTATTACCTTTCATGTAAATTTTGATATGTGTCATGTAATAATATGATGTGACATAATTGAAACGTAAATCATCGCTGACCCGTCAGTGGTCATCATCTCTAATTGTTAAATCCCAAAATTTTCATATTATTCTTTTTCGACCTATTGAACATTAATTCAATGTACATTTCACTAGAAAATGACCCAAAATTCACAAATCTAGCCTAAAAAACAAGTTTATGGATTCAGGTGTAGCTTCTGTTGAATGAAATTTAGATTCTGATTGAAAGAGTTCCAACTTAGGGACAACATTGGTAAACGGATCTTTGGGGTATGAATGAGGGAAATATGAATGAATATGGTTTAAGGGGGTTATTTGTGAAATTAAAATATTTACTGTTATAACTTAATAAACGACTTCGGTAGTAAAAGAAAGAGTGGATTCGGGAAATATGAATGAATATGGTTTAAGAGGGTTATTTGCTATTGGATTCTGGAAAATGCCTTAGCTATGAGGTGGAGTTGGATTCGGATGCTCAATGAGTTGTAGCATGGGTAAGAAATACTTCGTTGAGGCCATGGATATTTTGGAGCTTTTTCCGAGAATTTGATTTAGTAGTAGAACAATTGGGGAAGATTAATTTTAATTATACACCTAGACAGCGTAACACGATGGCGGATTCCTTGGAAAAGATCAGAATGAAGAAGAATCAATGCTCAAAGCATGGTGGTGAGGGCAAGAGTAGGAACTAATAAAGGTGGTTAGTCTCAATTGTGTTTTTCTATGTTGTTAGATGCATTGCCATTTTTGCTCTACTGTTGCAATTTATCTTATTCCTTGAAAGCGATGCTGTGGACGATATTGTGCGGCTGTTGTGGTGTATTAGTCTGGTTGCAGGTTTGTTGAGATCCTTGGGGAATGTATTTCGTTGGACTATGGTGAAATAGCTTGTCTTGTTGGCTGTTGTTCAGTGGAGCAAAACCAGGATGGTCATTTCCTTTAGCGATGTAGT